TATTTCTTTAAAAAAATTTTATTCACTACTACAAATAAATTTCTCCATCCCAATTACATTGATATCATTCAAAACCTCATTCATTAGTTATTAGAGGTATTAAACAGCGATAATTTCTCTAAATCATCCTTAATTTCAAAATTCTAGCATTTACAATACCTACAAAATCACTAATATTAACACTCCATCATAAACCTCCAAACCAATCCATTTAATCATCAATATAATCTCCATTAAACCAAAATAAGTAATTAAATTTGAAATAAACCCCACCACTATATTCCTACATCACCATTTTTCTCAATTAAAACCTAGCTTTAATCCCTCAAATCGACAATTTAGACAAATCTAAACCACACAAACTAGTATTCTAATATCATTAGCCCCACTAAAAACCCAAATAATCAATTGAAATACTCATAAATTCAAAATATACCAAAACCCTAAGTTTTTCACTGTCTAAAAGAAAATTAAAAACTAAAGAGATTGCTTGACTAAAAGAATATTTAAATATTTATATAATCTAAAAAAACTTAAAATTTCATTCAAAAATCTTATTATGAAGCATTACCTTCAAAAATTGCTCAGCCTCTCCCTCGCGCAGCACCGCTGGAGGCAAAGAACGAAGAAGAAGGAGAAACGTAGGGAAGACAAGTTGTAGGTCATAGGTGGTGAATTTATTTAAAGTGTGGGGTCCCACGCACTTCCCTTTCCATGTCTATCCTTTTTTTTTTAATTCCTTTAGAAATGCTTCTGCCACCGTTAAAATTTTTTACTTTTCTTTTTTTTTTATGATTTGTATTTTCTCTTCTTTTATCTCTTATTATCATTATAATTATAATAATTATTATTTTTTTCTATTCCAAAACATCACCTAAAATTTTATATTAAGTCACCCCTAATGATCATCTTTTAATTAAATTTAATTACTTTTAAATATTTATTTATTTCTATTAATTTAAATTAAGATGTTACATCTCGAGTCATAAGTAGTAAGTTACTAATATTATATGTTTTTTTTTCATTTGGTTATTAACAAGTCCACATCAGCATTTTATACTATTTATGCCATATCAAAGTCCCTCTAAAACTATAGGCACCAATTTGTAAGTGGAGAAAAGTATAGAGATTTGGAACAATAATAAAAAAGTACAAGGACTAATAGCAAAACTTGAATAAAGTATAGGGATTAAAAGTTATAATTTCCTAAAATAAAACCTTATATCCTTTAGTTTGCATTACGATTGTCTTAGTATTTAGTATTTAAACCGAGCTCAACTTTTATGCTAGTTGTACCAAACTCTCGGATATTGGTTTGTTTTTTAATTCTCTTTCTTGACAAAATATATTATTTTTTTTACTTCTTTTATTTAGTATACACTACCTAAAATTTATAAATTTTGTTTTTTTATCATTAACTTGAAGATAAAGTGAGATATGTATTGGAGTGATGTGCATCATAAGGTGCAATGTTACTGCTAAACCTTCCTCCCATATAATTGACTATATGATGATGATGATTGTGTTAGTGGGACCATGAATGGCCTGTGTTCGCGAAGAGCATTGCATCTAAGGGTATTCATCGGACGGATTGGATTGAACACCCTTGTCCCGTGTCCCATCTCAAAAAGATAGGGATTAAATTTTTGTCCTGTATCCCATCTCATCCTGAAAGTTATCCTGTCTCGTTAGGAATCAACACAAAATTAGGATGAGATTGGGACATCCTACCATTCCAATAAATCAGCCATATCAGAGAAAGACCTGGATAATAACATTCGTTAAAATTTTAAATCATGTAATTTATTAAGTTTAAAATAATTTATTAAGTTTAAAATAAAAACACACAAGTACATAAATCACAACAATTTAAAGCCAATTATTGAATTACATTAGTCATAACTACACAATATGACAGCAATTATAAGTGATCTTCAAGCTATAAGAGTAGTAACAACAAGCAAGCCAAATACAATATCAAATCATTATTTCTCTATTTTAGTTGAAATGTACTAAATTAATTACTTTTTCAAAAATAAAATAAAAAATACGTTATAAATAAAGTGATTAAATAGATAGATATAGAAATAAATTGTATTAATATAATTAATATATTATAAAAAAATACTGCCCTCTTTAATTTATATTATTAAAATTATTAATATAAAAAAACTTTAGTTTTACATAAAAATTGTAAGTATTAAAATTATAATTAATATAAGTATAAATTATATTAATATATTTAATGTATATTTTAAAATAAAAATAATATATATAATATTCAGGACGGGACGAGACGTCCTAATGGTAATCTCATGTCCCGTCTTGTCCCGCAAAGTTTCATCCTGATTGTTTTTTGACCGAGATGACACCCATCCCAATATATCTGAACAATACTGAGTAAATCGAGATGAGTACAAATTAAACACCCTTAATTGCATCCAAAATCAGGCTTATTGAAACCAACATCCCAAGTCATATGGGCCTTTGGTAGGGTCACCCTCTACCTTTGTTCCTTGTCCATGATATCAAGCAATTAACGAACTGATTAACTATTTGTGTCTTACTAGTTCAAATTTTTGTTAGAAAAAATGTTCGCGTTTAATGCTTCTCAATAATTTGAGTAAGACTTCCTCTCGTAAGAAAATATATATAGAAAAGCCAACAAAAAAGAGAAAAAAAACCTACTCACATCTTTCATCTTTCACAATCTCCCTCTCATGCAACTAAACCATATACTCCCTCTTTTTCTATATATAAAGTATTTTTTAAAAATTTATTGTGTTCTTAAATATAAAGAGTGCCAAAGATATTTTTGAGTAATCAGACAATTTTATCCTTATCTTAAAAAATAAAATAGATCGTTAATTGTATGTTTTCTCCACTATCATCATGATATTAATTATGATATTATTAGAGGTAAAATTAAAAACTTATTGTGTTTTTATGTAAATTTAACTAAATAACAAACCTTTATTAACATGCAAGATCTGATTAAAAATATGTTATATATAAGAATAGAGGAAATATACTAATTCCTGTGTCCATGCCCCACATGCTGAGACTTAATTAAGCCTTACATTTACTTACCTGCCCTGCACATTTTTCATAACATTTGGTTTTTTCTGAAGCATGCATCATACATTTAAAACAAAACATCATGAACTTAATTTACCATTACTACACATACAATTAAATAAGTATATATGTTGCAAATGTTGGCACCTTTTTTCATACGGTGACGGAGGGACGAGTGATTAAAGCATTAATTAATGGAGGTGCCGGCGATCCCAACTCGTGGTCGGCTCCTTGCCAGAGATTTCTGCTCCGACTACACCGTGGCCCCATCTTCTTGATGATCCCACCCTCCAAGGCAGGTGTTCTTGCCCAAGTTGTATCCAAAGCGCTATCGTACCTGAGCAAATCGACATTTATGGAAGCACCAGAGTTATGTTCTCTAAACCAACCCCAACGTCCCCTGTTTTTTAAGCACCCCCGAAGGTTAATGTTATCGTCCTTTGCATGCTTATTAATTTTGCTGACTACTAGCTGTGCTCTCATTTTTATTTTTCCGTAAATTTCTTGATATTAATTAAACCTGTACTGGTGAGCCTAGAGAATTTATTTGATCGCTACTCCAAGTGTTCTGCTTTTCATTCATATATTTTTCAACGTCTGATAAAGGTTGGAGTGCATCAACTCATACTCATCTGCCCTACGATACACTGACATTGACATGTGAGCCTCGGCTGAGAAATTGGTGGTGCACGCATACCTGATAAGGAAGGACAAGGAGTAAAAGCAGTCCTAAAATATAACTCACGCATCCTTGTTACAATAAAAATATGGATCTCCATGCTGGACAGCCCAGTGGTGTAAAAATATTTGGAGGATAGCCAGCTCAACGCCAAGCTGAGCAATTTTGATTGATTGTGATCAGAGCGTAAATGAAAGACAGAAGGAAATACTGCTAGATCGAGAGCAGGGAGGGAAAATTTTGGATTGATAAAAAGGACGGTATTTATCATCTGACGTAATTCGTCCCTCATTATTCTCAACTGTCTCAATTACTCTTGCATTTATGTGTTTTAAATGGTCTTAATAGAATGGTCTTTTTTTCAATGCCCGGAACTACCCAACCCACCCTCTATCATCCTTAATTCTCCTTGATTACGTTTCTTTTTCCCCCTACCCGAAATTAAATTTTCTCATGCTGCCACACTTTGATTTAACTTCCATTCTATTTGCTCTCCTCCCATCTAACACACCGTTAACATTATTATTCACCTATTAATGTTACAGTTCCGACTCAACAATTCTTGCTTTGAGTTTTCTTTACCTACTATCGGCAAAATTTGCTTTTCGTTACCTCCTCATTACGGATCGTGTCACGGGATCCAAGTAAAACTTTAAACTCTATCTTGCTCCGTCTAAAATTTTCATCTTATTGGAATCAAAACTAAAGTCAACTGACAAAGTTTTGTTGTCCACGCCCCCATCCTTGAGATTTTTAGTAATGGGTAATCAGATAGATTGGTCCACCCACTGAGCTGCATCGTGAGTAAATGGCATGTTTGTTTGGGCCTTAGCTCGCAAACATTTCTTATGATGATCAAGTAAGGAGGATCGACATACTGGCGCAATCATTTTTACGTTTTAAATATCATTTTTCTCTTTAGTTCTGTCCGTGGTAGCTATGGGCTTCGATTTGGGTGCTCAGTTGGATGAAACAGTGAGATCATATGAAGCCGCGCCGCCGGGGGGGGGGGGGAGCATGGAACGCGAAGGTTGCTTCACTTCTATTTCAGCGGGTAAAAGTAGGGCATCTGAGGGTCTATGCCCTATTTCTATTACACTGTCTGCTGCTAAGGGGGATGAAAAGCGAAGCCACATATGATAAGAACATCTCAGTTCTTAGACACCCGTAGCATGCTCAAGTTTTACCATTAGTTAGCTCCCCCCCCCCCCACAGCTTTTCTATATAAGATGAGGATAGTGCATATTACGATCAACTCTCTCATGCCCTCTGTACAAGCCTTGCTTTGTCAAAAACTCGTGGGATTTGTTCGCAGAAAATAGAGGATAAGAGGGAAGTGACCGTAGCAGCAATCATACAACGGAAATATAGAATAAAGAGGGCAAAGGCAAAAAGTCCAGAAAGAGATTCCTAGGATTAAAAACAAAGATGTCCTGCTAGCAGCAGAGAAATGCAGAAGCGGAAATAAAACAGAGAGAGCCTACTCTAGGTCCTCCTAACGGTGGGGTTGTTGCTGTCTTGCAGGAAATCAAGCAAAACGGTGCTTTTGCACTTTGGACACTTCGGGTCATCCTCGGAGAGCATCACGTACATGAGGCATCTCGGGCAGCCTACTAGCACCATGGACGTCGCTTCCGGGCTGTGCGAGTATCTCTGCTGCCCGTCCTCTTGGTTCAGCTCCGACGACAGGCAAGAGCTCGGCGTCGAAATCGGTGACAACGTCGCCGATCCGTTCGGCGACTCCAGTCCCCGGCCAGCCCTCGGCGGGGATAAGTTCAGCTTCAAGTCGAGCTTCGGGCCGTTCCCGTTTCTGCGACTCATGGTTTGCTTCTCCACCGATCCTGTGAGACCCGTCACCTTTTTGACGAAAAGCACGAGCCACAAAAGGAAACAGAAAGAAAAATCTATTTCAGCGACCTCCGTTGCACCACAAAACACGTGATCCATATAAATAATGAAACAAACTAATGTTGTACCTTGAAGCAGCTTCTGGGAAAGCTAACACAGAGAGAGGAGAGGGGATAGCCGGAAGCATAAGAAACTCCGGCGGCAGCGAGAGTGATGGGTGGTGCTGGAGAAGAAGGTTCGAGCTGAATTTATAAAAGGAAAACGAAGGGGGGTGATTTAAAGCTTTATTAATTTAAGGGAGAGAGAGGGGATGAAAAGAGAGGAGAGAGAAAGAGAGGGGGGATGGAATTGAATTGAATTGAATTGATGTATTGGGTAGAAGAAGAGCGTAAATTGAGGCCAGGAAATGAATTAATGGCCGGCAAAAATATTCCAATATATATAGAGTAAGAGGCAAATTTGCAGTAAATATTGCAATTACGAAGTGCAGGAAGAGGGCCTTTCTTCATTCATTGCTCGGGGGAGTCGATCGGTGTTTTAAGAGTCCATCGCGCAGCCATAATACAGCACAGGGGAACCCCAACGGCTTTTAAAGCTAAACCCTCTCGTTTAAAAAATTATACATACCCATGTATCAACAATTCAAACCCCACCAACGAATTTAATGGCTGGCACCAAATTCCTTCAGATCGTAGTCAGGGAAAACTAAGTGCTTACAGATGTTCAAATGCTCAACAGATTAAACATCACCTTCTTTACGCTGAATAAATAAATTAGTTCTTGTTGCAATTTAAAATATATATATATATATATACACACACACAATTGAAACATGTTAGCTTCAATTGTTTCTGTTGCTGCGTATATTGCAAATGAATAACGTCCTAGTTGCAGAACCACGGAATCTTCAGAGTTCTCACATGCTTTAATTAGGAAGTATAGACGTCACAGACGGAGCCTTCGCCGAGTTTCATGAGGAGCAAGTGCTAAATCTTTTGAAAGCATCATGATCAAAAAAGGCTGCCTTTTTTTAAAAAAAAAAAAAAGGAAGAAAATGGGATTACGGGGACAGCCGAGACCACGCTGCCCTGCAGCATTCACTAAAATCGATCTTTAAGGTATAAACCCTCTGTTTCCAATGTGGAAAAGTCGAAGTTGTCCCACGGAATTTAGTCGTACTAATTTCTTGATTAACTTTGTAGTCGGCTGGATGTTGTTGAACAGTTTTGTTGGGTATTATTGTCGCTGTCGTGATAATTCTCGCCACTGTTTGTTTTTTGCGCCAGCCACTCCGCGGTGCTCATTAATTAACCAAAATTTAGAACTCTCGAGGAGAGAGAAATTCAAGCGCATAGGAGCTGGGGCGTTTTCCAGAAGTAGAATTTGTTGGTCAACGTGGCAGTATTTGAAGAAACATGGGTACAAGATTGAATGATGGATTACGGCTTTCTATAAGTAGAAACTTTCATTCTCCTCGATTCGTCGTCTCTCCCATGCCACAAATGGATCACTTAACCGGTGATCCGTATATTAAAATCTTAAAATAAAAATCACTCCCTTGTGCACACATGCTTTATCCTAAATTATACAGTTTTTCGTGCATTGCAAGATTGAGATTAAACAATTCAAAACAAATTCATTGATATTATTGATATCATTATATATAAGATGTTTAAATTTTTAAGAATTTCTCTATTCAATTATATTTTTCCTTAAATATTTCATTTGTTCACATCTTGTTTTTATTTCTTGAGCCTATGGTGAAAAACATGTCTAAAAAATATATATTCCTAGAGTTCTTAGAGAATATTGGCAAAAAGAAAAAATACTTTTTAGAATTCTCAATAACTCCTTATTTTTTATTATGTAAAAAAATTAGATACTAATTTATGAAGTATAACATAAATTGTATTTTTATAAATATGGATATAAGAAAGAATTCAAAGGGATCCCGTTGATATTGAGTACAGCGAATAAAAAATAGGAAAAAAATTAAATCTCATTGATTAAGGAAATTAAAAAGGGATAAGAAAGTATAACGAATGGAAATGATAGCCGGATGGAATTAATGCTAATGATTAGAAAAATTTAAAAATAAAACTGCTCTTAAATCAATAATTCCATGAAAATAGACTGAAAATACATGAAAAATAAAGTAAATCTCATTGATCAGGAAAATTGAAAAGATATAGAAAAGTATAACGAATGGAAAAGAATAGTCGAATTGAGTCGATGCTAATAATAAAAAAATTAAAAAAGAAATTATTTTTTAATCAATGCTCCCATGAAAGTAGACTGAAAATACATGAAAAATAAAAAATAAATTAAATCTCATTAATGAATTAAAAAAATTTTTATATTAACGTCAGTTTAAAATCTATTAATGAATGAAAGTTAATTTTTTTTGCCAATCAAACTGAAGCTAGCCTAAATCGATTAATCAATTAGAGTTAATGTTGTTTGACCAATCAAATTAAAGCTACAAGATTTGTGTATATATATATATTGATGATATAAGACAATTATTATTTTCAAAACTATTTTTTAAGTTTTACTGTACCTTGATGCTCCTTCAAATTACGATATAAGACTTTTCTAAAAGCCTTACTTTGTCCAAAAAGAGTAATTTTTATAATTATTTTTTCAATTATATTTCTATTTTATTTATTATTTTTTTAAAATGAAAAATTAAAATTTTAATTATTATTATTAATATTTTTATATAGGGTATTTAATGAGAATATGATAAAAAATAATTTTTTAAAAAAATTAAGATTTCAACTTTTTTTTTTGAAAAAAGTGAATTAGTTATAATATGTCATATTTTGGTTCAAAAGGATATTTATTAATGTGAGTTTCTTGCATAGTACGGAAAATATCGTCATATGCTTCTCACTCTTCATGACCTCCTTATAGGTCAATTCATTAGATGGTAATTGAGGTTAAGAGTAAAAAAAGAAAGACATGTTATCTTTTCATCAGAATAAAAAAATATTCTAAATTTTACTAGGATGCAAAATATGATAAGAAACTTTTATATAGATCCAATATACTACATCATTTATAATCTAACTAATAAAATTACACTAATTTAAATAAATAAAATTTTACATGTCATAATTTTTAATGAATTTATTAATTTATTTAATTTTTTTATTTTTTAATTAGTATTATTATTAATATTAAAATTAATTTATATTTAATATTATTGAAATATTATATTTTTATTGAATCCATCGTGAATGTTGTAGTGTATCATGTTAATGTAAAAATTTTTCAAATATAATGAAAAATATCTCACAATTTAAACAGGGAGCATTACTCTCTCGTCACGCAGAAGGCCACCTATATATCATTCTTGCTTGCCTCTAGTAACTTTTCTCGAGGAGATTGATTAGCCTGTGTGTATATATCTATCAATGTTTTACTCCCACCTTGAATCAGCCTCATTAGTTTTTTTTTTTTTACGTTTTATATGATTTTTTTTTTGTCAAGATGAAAAAAATTGCAATTTACCACACAATATTTTAGGATTTTAATTTTGGTTCAAATTAATCATCAATCAATAATAAAACATTCATTTTTTTACACCATATTACCTTTATCAAATTAAATAACGAAATTAAATGTAGGCGGATCTTAATTTTTTATTCAGAAATAACTTATTAATATAAGTATATTTTAATTAAATGCTTCCAAGTTTTAAATATGGTTATAATTAGTGCATATGATTAATCTTTAATAATTATTATTTAAAAACACAAATTATTATATATACCTCTCACTTCTCTCACGCACTCCCTTTATTTTCTACTCTATCTATTTCACTTACCCGTCTCCCCATTTAAACTCAGATTTTTATTTATTTATTTATCTATTTAGATGAATGTATATGTGACTTCAAATTCTGTCGGCATGAGAGATTCACATTGATTTGAAGGGGGTAAAAAATCATCCTAGGTGCATGCATAGTCATTATTACTTAGGGTATATATTCAACATGGGTATAGACTTTGAAGAGTCACGAACAAGAGAGAGTATTTATAGTCTAATCCTGAACAAGGGTTGCATTCTGGCCTCACAAAAGACTGTAAAGAAACATGATATAAAAACCAGCAACAACCTCTTATTTTTGTGTAATCAGATTGATTTTATCATCATTACGATTTATGAGTTCCCCTGTACAAGAGATTTCTATCTTATGCTAAACAACAAAAAATATGTCCATACGAGAGGGCGAATTTTCGCCGAGCTTATTTGTTGTTTTGCGTGGTACTGAATATCGGGGATGATAATATCATCAGTGCAGGACTGTTGGCTTTCGTCATTTTAATAAATACAAAGGTGCTCTCACTTAATGGGTGCGTTGAATAACGAGTTGGAGCTTGAATAACGAGTTGGAGCTTTAATGAGATCTCATTGCAAAGGAAGGTACCGATTTTCTGTTTAAAATGCTCAAGTATGAGAAATTGATGACCTTTTGTTTCGCAGATCATCCAAGTGATGAGGAGCGTTTTCTGCAGATCCAAAGTTTGAGACTTTGAGGGAGCCTCATTGCAAATTGAAGGAAGTCATTCAGATTTCTGAGAAGATCATCACAATTAGCAAGAAGATGTTAGTTATATATACTTCTCAATTCTATTTATAAGTTATTTTTAATATATTTAATTAAAATTAAAAAAAATCTTAAACTTTATTAATTCTATTTAAAATTTTAATAAGCTTTTAACTTTACCCTTATTAAATATACTTATTATTTTAATAATATATTTTTTTTCTTTAACATTTAATGGGATGCAATTGAAGAAATTAATGATGAAAAAAATCAATGATATGTCTTGTAGATAGGATTAAAAAAAATATTCTTTCTTTATCTTATAGAACAGGAGGGATCGGAGCGTGTATATAATATACATAATTGTGTGCTTTAAGCCAAGGTTGGCTTGAAAAAGCAAACCAATGTGCGGTGGTATGAAGATGGATAGGCAATTCAACTCTCAATTCATTTAATCACTTTCACGGAAAAGGCTTGGCCTTGTATGTACTTCTTCAAATTTAAATTATAAGACATTTTTTTTAAACTTATCTTGATTTAAAATATAAGACACTTAATAAATTTTAAAATTTTTACCTATTTTACTTTTATATTTATTAATTTGGTTTGTTGTGTAACTTGATTGGTATTTATTATATTTTTTTCACTTTTCATGATAGTTAAAAGTTTATTGGTCTGTAAGGAGAATTACACTTTTTCATGTTATAATACTTCATTAAAAAAACATTATTTCTCTCATTTAATTTATAATTGACTGTTAGGAAAAAGGGTAAAAAGAAAAACTTATGATATTTATAATTGAAAGAAAATGATATAACTGAATTTTATTAATATTCAAATTATATTTAAAAATATTTTATATTTTGGAAGCATAGCATATGTTTGCCATAGCGTGAGCCTTTTATTGTTATTAGGCGTTGTATCTTCCCTTCCAACTGGCATGCCTCAATTTGTCTGAAAATCGTTACCAGTATTTGTGCTCAACTTTAAGGCAATAGTTTCATTTCTTGACGCTTCGAAACGCTTAACAATTTGGCCACACTTCATCGTTTCGTTTGACCCTTAATTGAATTTCTCCATCTTATAATGCTGATTCTATTGTTCGACGTACACCTTGAAGCCTGAAAGGCAATGGATAAGCAGCAGATCATACAAACAAAACACGAGCAAAATTTAAAAGCCTTGGCTCTCATAGCTTTGGCTCATAAGCGTTTTCCACGTATAATTTGGATGGTGAA